TTCTTTATCCCCTCCTAGCTTCCCTGCTTTATTTTTTCTTTCTTTTATATATATACTAAAAGAAAAAAAATATATATAAAATGGAGACACATAAAAAAAACAATATCAGCACTTGTAATAGTAGTGTTGACTATAATGATAGTAGTAATAGTAGTAAAAGCAATAATAACAATAACAATAATAGATAATGATAATAATATTGATAATAATGAAAATGACAATGATAATAGCAACGATAATAATAACAAGAATGATTATAAAGATACTGATAGCAATGATAGCAACCATAGTATGATAATAACGATGACGATATTGATCATAGTAGTGATAGTAAAAATGGTTATGATAATGATAATGATGAAAATGATAGCAGCAAAAATTATGATAATAATAATGATTACAATATAAGTAATGATAAGAAGAAAGACAACAAGGATGATGATAACAATAACGATTAAGATAATAATAACGATAGAATTGATAGTATTAGTGATGATAAGGATAATGATGGTAGTAAAAATAACAATAAGAAAAATAACAGCAATAATAACTGTTATCAAACTCATGATTATAATGATAATGATAATAATGACAATAGGAATAATGATGATGGTAATGATAATGATAATAATAATAATAATTATTATTATTATTATTATGATAATAATAATAGCAATAGCAATAATGAAAATAATAGTAATGACAATGATAATAATGATAACAAAAATAATAGCAAGGAGAATAATGATATTGATACTAATAATAGTAATAGCAATAGTGATAATGATAATTATTATCGTTATCATTTCTATTGACATCATCATCACAATCCTTATTATGATCATTATCATCATAACTATTCTATTACTGTTATCACTATTTCTATCATTATTATAATATTCATAATAACTATTGCCATCTAATATGCTTATTGCCATTAGTATTGTGATTATTTATATTATCATTATCAATATAATCATTACCATTACTACTACTGCTATCTTCATTATCATTATCATCAGCAGTAGTAGAAGTATTATTAGTAACAGTGTTAGGAATAGTACCAGTATAGTACAGTATGAGCAACAGTAGGATATTACTGATGCTTCGTTGTGCTGTAATAACGTTTTAGAATCATTTTTATTACTGATAAGATGATGTAAAAAAAATAACTTATAATAATGATATCATATTTTTTGAACGACCATTTCACGTATATCCAATCCTCGGACCTTCAAGAAACAAAAGAAAAGTTAAAGTAAATGGAAAAAAATCTTGCTCAACCTTTAACGTAATTAAACAAGATATATTGCTGCGGACTGCGAGGCTCTTGGGCATTTGTCAGTAATAAGAATAATAGAAATAAGTAGGGAAGAGAGAGAGAGAGAGAAGGAGAGATGGAACGTGTGGTGTTGAGTGAGAGAGAGGGAGAGAAAGGGATGGAGGGTAAGTGAAAGAGAGGGCTAGACAGGGAGAGATAGGGAGGGAGGGAGGGAGAGATAGATAGATAGATAGATAGAGAGAGAGAGAGAGAGAGAGTCCGAGCGATCAAAAGAGAGAGAGAGAGAGTCCGAGCGTTCGAAAGAGAAAGAGAGAGAGAGAGTCCGAGCGTTCGAAAGAGAGAGAGAGAGAGAGAGAGAGAGAGAGAGAGAGAGAGAGAGAGATCAAAAGAGAGAGATAGAGAGAGGAGAGTCCGAGCGATCAAAAAGAGAAAGAGAGAGAGAGAGACAGAGAGAGAGAGAGAGATGCTGAACAGTAGTGATATAAATTCCAGAGACTTACTTCCTGTTCGTGGTTTTCTCATTTAAGAGGAACCAAAAACAGAGAAAGTAATGTTTAGTCTAAGTAAATGAATTTTTTTTTTCTTTCTTTTTTTTCTTTTTCTCTTTTCCTTTCTTTCTTTTTTTCTTTTTCTCTTTTCCTTTCTTTCTTTCTTTCTTTGCCATTTTTATCAATCTTTTTATAAGTAATTCATATCATAAGATAATGATAAGCAGATAAAGTTAATGATAAGTATGGAAATGATAATTATAACAATAACAATAACAATAATAATAACAGTGATAATAAAAGTAATAACAATAACAATAATAATGATACTTATATATATCAAAATGATAATAATGGCAATAATTAGAGTGATATCAATAATAATAATAACAGTAATGGTAGTGATATTACTCATAACGATAGGGTAATGATGATAATGATAATGACAACAGTAATAATAATGACAGTGACAATAATAATGATACAGATGATTATTATGATAATGATAATAATGATAAGGACAATAATAGTGATAATGATAATAATAATAATGGTAATTATCATAACAATGATAATAATGATAATGACAATAACAAGGATGATGATGATAATAATAATAATAACAATAATAATAATAATAATAATAATAATAATAATAATAATGATAATAATGATAATAACAGCAATGATGATAATAACAACAATAAAACAATGATAATGATAATGATAATGATGGTAGTAAAAATAACAATAAGAAAAATACTCATGATTATAATGATAATGATAATAATGACAATAGGATTAATGATGCTGGTAATGATAATGATAGCAATGATGTTAATGATAATAATGATAATAA